ATAAAATGTTCTTACTACCCAATCAACAGATTCTATATAATCCCCATAAAATACAGAGAATTCCTCACACGACTAGAAAAAGCAATCTCAAAATTCAGGTAGAAGTGCAAGAAATAGGGCTGCTGAGATAGCTCAGCAGACTAAGTGCCTGCTTAAGCAAGCACAAGGACTGGGGTTCAATTCCCAGCACCACATGTCATGCTGGCCCCACCCCCAGGGTACACTGAGCCAGCCACTGACACTGGGCATGGTGGCACCTGTAATCCCAGTGCTGGAGAGGCTGAAAACAGGAGGATCACTTGAGTCCAAGCTGTGTTGTGAGACTCTGTACCAAATACATTAAAAAAAAAAATGCAAGAAACAAGTAGCCAAAATATTGCTAACCAACAAAAGTCAGAGACATCACAATACCTGATTTTATGACACACTACATAGACATAGTAACCCAAACAGTATATACAGATACATAGACCCATTGAATAAAAGTGTCAGAAATCCATATATCCACAGCCTGCTGATTCACAGCAAAGCCAAGGACAGCCTGACCAATAAAGGATTCTGGGAAAACAATATTCCTAGGCAGGATATTGAATCTGAACCTCTCTCTCACTCTTTACAGAAATCCACTCAAAATGGACACAAAACCTGGGTGAGATCCAGTATTTTGAACCTTTTCAAAGAAAATATTTCAGTACATTGGTTCAAACAATGATTTCCTGGGTAGTTTTGAAAACACAAGAAAGAAAGATAAAAATTGACAAATGAGATTATCAAGATTAAAAAGCTTGCTCACAGTAAAGGAAATTATCAAGAGTGAAGAGACTAATTATTAAGTGGTAAAAAATACTTGTCAAGTACTCATCAGAAAGAGGGTTTATACCTTGAATATATGAAATAATCCAGATAAATTGGGTAAGTGATCTCAGTTGATATTTCTCAGAAAAAGAAATACTTGTTTCCAACAAATCTTTGAAAAATGATTCATATAGTAGCCACCAGATACATGTGAATTAAAACTACAATGAGATTACATGTTATCATAGTGAAAAGGCTGTGAAAAGAAAAAGAATGATGCTAGAGAATGCAGATGAAAAGAAATTCATATACTATTTGTGGGAATGTAAATTAGTACAACTACTGTGAATAATGGTATGGAAGAAGTTAAAAAAAATTGAAAATGAATCCACCAGATAAACTAGCTATGCCATCCTATTTCCCCAAAGGAAATGAATTCAGCATACCAGAGATAGATATCTACATGACTGTGTCCATGGCAACACTATTTATAAGAGCCATGATATGGAGTCAGTCAAGTGCCTTTGAATATATGAATAGATAGGCAAAATATACACACAATGGAATATTTAGACATGAAGAATAAAATCCTACCTGTGATACTAAACTGTGTCAAACTGAGTAAGAAACAACCAAGTAAACTGAGTCAGCATTATCGTTCTGGGTGTCACTGAAGGGAGACAGAAGACCTACCTCGGGTGTGAGTGACACTAGCCAATAGGCATTCCACCTGAATGGAATAAAGGGGAACCACAGAAGTAAGGGTTGCTTCTGCTTCTTCAGAGCTCCAGTCCTCACCTTCACCTTGAGGCTGTCTCCTGCAGTCCAGCATAGCCTGTTCAGCCTTCTGATATGAACCCACAAAGGGCACTATGGTGGGCTCCAGCCCTTCAACTAGATCCTTTGGTTCTCTAGTATACAGTCAGCTCTTTGCACTTATCCACCCCTGATGCTGTGAGCAGCTCTTGTAAGCCAATCTTTTACCTTCTTAGGTGTTTGTACATCATGCATAAAATGTATTTCTTTAATAATCACTCACTGATGTGTTGCCATTTACAGAAATATGAGTACAAGTGAGAGACATGTTAAATAAAATTATCCAGACACAGAGAAGAAAAAGTAGTAAAAAATTGGTGTGGTATTAGAATAGTGATTCATTGGGTTTGGGAAGGGTTGGGCACAGAGGAAGTTGGTAGAAGAGTGTCTGATATGATCATTGCGTGATATGCATACTTATTTCACTGAATCCATTCATATTGAAATGCATGTAAATAAATTGAAAATAAAATTAGAATTAAAGGAGACATAAGTGATACTACAGGAAAACAAATCTCAATAGAAATTATTATGAAAGACTATACATTAACAAATTGCAAATCTGAGATTTAATGCACAAATTTCTAAACACATACGACTTTCCAGAGTTGAACCAAAAAGAAAAAAAATACATAAATAAAGCAAGTATAATTAGTTAGATGTAGTGAGAAAATTTTTCCCAACTAAATAAAGCTCAGCATGGGATCTCATGTTCCGTCTCGTGTGAAGCCTGTATGTAGCACATGGATCTGAAAGTGAAGTAGCATTTATTGGGGGTGGGAAATATATGTATGGGAAAGAGATAGGGATTGATGATTTTGTTTGGATATGATCAGTGTGCACTGTATGTTTGGCTAGATCTATGGGTGAAATACTATTAATAAATACAATTAATGGCAATATGTGCTAATTGTAAAATGATACCATCGTTAGGAGACTTCAAAGAAAAGTATCCATATCTGACCACGTAAGTGGCAATGTGTACCATATGTGGACTACCAATGTAAACCATTAACAAAAAATCCAAATGCAAGCTATAACTTAGAAGCCACATGTAAAGGAATATTCCCAAAGTGATAAGTAAAAATGCAAGCAGAAAGAAAAGAACAAAGTATATAAGTGGATCATTCACAGCAGTAGAAATTCGGTTACCCATCAACAGTGAGAAATCAGTCAATAAACTTGACAGTACGTGTTGGAGAAGGGGCAGCAGTGCACTCTGGTGTTTGTTGGCTTGTGAATTACAGTCACTTTTAAAATACCAATAGGTAACGAAAGTGTACTAGACTTTTAAAAAAACTGGAAGAGATTTTGTTAACTTTAACCAGAAAGAAATGACAAATATTTGAGGAGATGGGCCTGCTCAAGCTGATTCAAACATTGTACAGTGTACTGAAACATTGCATAATATCCCATAAATCTGCACAATTATATGTATTTATGTATCTTTTAGAAGTAAAACAAAAAGAGGTAATCTAGCATAACTTTTACAAATAAACATTTGCTTTGATATACCAACTGAATTTGGGAAATATGTTCTAAGGAAATGAAAGCAGCACTTTATAAAGATTTGTATCATCTATTTTTCCATAAGGACATTTGCTGAAGCATAGTGCAACACATAGCGGACAACTAATTGGTGGAAGAAGATCTCTAAATGACCGAGTAGAGCACTGGCTGCACAAATTATTTTGTTGTCATGCTATTATCAATACAGGATCAGATTTTTATAACTTTTTTTCCTAAGTCTACATACTTCTGTCATCAAATGAGTTCCAAATTAATAAAGTGGCCATTCTGTTTTAAGAAAGCAAAACTGTAAGACAGGTGCACTTGACTGTGTTCCTACTCACATGGAGGATTGTGAGGACGCTATTGACATTGTGCACCATAGGCAGATAGACAACAGAGTGGCCCCAACATAATTAAATTCTGCTTTATACTTATTTTTATTTTGTATTAAAAGAACATGTATGTTTTTTTCTAATTAAAATAGTTTGGCAATCCATTGATTTAATGTCCATTTTTTAAAGTTTTAAATTTGGAAATAAATCCAAATACAGAAAAATGGAAGACTAGCGTTAGCAACTACAAATTATTCAGTTAGCTCTCTGAAATGTTAATGTTTCGCATTTGTTTTATTATTTCTATTTATCCATATATATTTATCTCTGATCCAGTTGAGAGTAAGTTGCAAACATGCCATTTATACCCAATATTCTAATATTTATTTCCTGAAAGAGACCCTTTTCTACACAACTACAAAATCATGGATGTAGATTAACATTGTTTCAATATTATCATCTACACTAGAAACTATATTTAAACTTTACTAATTGTGCTTCATTAAAATGCTTTTTTATTTCTCATCCACAACAAAACTAAGGATGTTGTATGTAGCTGTCATATCTCTTTAGTCACCTTCTATCTGGAATAGTTCCTCAGTCTATTCATTATCTTTCATGACCTTGACAGTTTTGAAAAGTACAAACCAGTTATTTTGTGGATTGCCCTTCAGTTTGGGTTTGTCTGGCATTTCCTCATGATTAGATTCTGGCGGGAACATCACAGAAGTGATGCCGAGTTTATCTCAATGCAACACATCATGAAGGGAGACTGTCAATTTGTCTGTTACTAGGGATGTAAACTTTAATCACCCAGGAAGCTGCTGACCTTAGCTATAGTTACTGGGTTTTTTCCTTTGTAATTAATAGTATGCAGTGAACAGATACTTTGCAATTATGTGAACATTTTATTTTTCTGCAAATGAGTCTGGCTTTCTGTTGATCATTCTTTTCTATTTTAATTATTGTTATGATGTTTGGCAAATAGTGACTCTAATTCCATCATTCCTTATACATGTTTTAGTTGTAATTCTCTGAGGAGTTACTTTTCCCTTTCTTCTAATTCACATTTTATTAATTTGTTATTTACATCAGTAGGGCCACTGATTCCTATTTTATTTAAAGGGCTTTAATTTGTTGCTATAATGCTTCAAAAAATTTTTTTAATATATTTGATTCTTGCAGGGTCTCACTACATAGCTTAGACTCATGGTGATCCTCCTGTCTTTAGCTTCCCCAGCACTAGGATTATAAGCACTTGCTACCATGCCCAGATCCACCCTGGGGGCAGGTCTGGCACGGCATGTGGTAAGAGGGATCAAACTGTGGGCCCTGTGCTTGTCTAAGCTTGCCTAAGTAGGCACTTTAGTCTGCTGAGCTATCTTGCCAGTGCCTGTTGCTATAATACTTTATGCATAAATTTTTTAGTATTAAACAAACAGGGCAGCCCTGAAGGCTGGATCCTGTAACTGTTCAGCAGTAGTTCCTAGCTGCTGTGAAATTTCACAGTCCTCACAGATGTGCATCTAGATAACCTGAAATCTGCACAGCACCTTGTGTATTAGTCAGCTTTTGCTCCATCTTCGTGCAAGGGCCATGCTGATCCTCTCTGATTCATTTCAATTTCAGTACATGTATTGCTGAAGCAAGCCCTGGCCAGATTTTTCACTGCTGTATACAACCCTTTGATAGCCACAGTTTAAAGAAAAAGAGGCTTAGCTTGGCTCATGTTCAGCTGGCTTCAGGGCAGAAGCGTCATGGAGGAAAGGTGTGGTGGAACCAAACTGCTTAATTCATGGTTGCCTGGAAGCATGGTGCCAGAGACCAAGGAATGTGAAACCAGATACAGATCCCAGGGCCACTCCTCCAAAACCCACCTAGAAAGTTTCACAAGTGTGCCCCACCAATCCTCCTTGGACTATGCCAGAACAACCAAGTTGACCTTTCACCCAAATTGTATACTTCGTTTAAGAAATAGTTTTTACATCACCTCCCAGCCAACACTCAAGGTAATGCATCCAGAAGTCAGCTTGAGAAGGGAGATGATGACAGCAGAGACAATTCCCAGAGTGAGAAAATGTTTGCATGTTCCTGTCCCTGGGACTCCATAGACATTTTAGTACACTGGCCGAAGAGACAGCTACCTCACAATCTCAGATGGATCCAAAACAGTGACTGTGACCTAAGCTTTCTGGGAGCCATGAGCAGTAATGGATTGGGGCTGTAGATAAAGGGGAAGAGAGAGTTTGCCCTCAAAAGTCAGAAAATTGAAGTGTTTGTCCCCTGGTATGAGTGGCCTTGTGTAATTATGTCAGGCCATGACTGAGGACAGGCACCTGCAGGGCTCCTGTCATTCCTCTCCTCCCCTGAACAAACAGGTCTGCTACCACAGTTCCCACTTGCGCTTCCCATGGTAGGACTTGTTGAAGAATGCTGCAGCTCTGGCTCTGGCTTTGTCCCTGGGCAAGTGCAGCTCTGCTGAGATGTCAACAAGCACTGCCACTGACAGTATCTGGGGACGGAAGCCCCATCTATCACCCTATTCCAAGGAATGCACATTCAGTAAGATTGGGGTAAACTTGCCTGACATTGGCTGAGTGCTCCTGGACAGGCACTGCCATGCTAGCAATGGAGGAGACTGCCACACTTCCTCCTGCCACACATTTGCAGTGCCCATCACGGGCCCAACTCCACCTTTTCTGATCATGATCTACTGTCAGGACTCAGTGTGATTACCACAGAGGGACGCTGTGATTACTGCCGCTGCCTCTCCCCATGCAATGTCTGGGTACCCACTACTGACTCTCAGAACACGTGCTTCAGGCCCCTCACCACTGCCCATTCTTACATGGTGCTGATACGACTGCTAGTGACACAATTGGAATTAGCAGAGGTTGCAGAAATGCCCATCACCCAGTGCAGCAAAGACCTCCATTACAGAAGTAGCCACACAGTGAGCACCCTTGTAGCCACTGTTTGTGCACTATACCTATCAGAATCACAAGAGTGGGCCGAGTGCTCAGTGGCACAAGCACCTGCCCAGCAAGTGCAAGGTTCTGAGTTTGAATTCTGAAACATACAAAAAAAGAATTGATAGAGTGTCCCCAATCTTTCATGGCCCACAAGGGCAGAAGGTAAATACTATTTTAACACAGTAAGCCCTGGGTCCACACTCATTACTCAAATCTAAGAAGTAACTGAGAAAAGCAATGTAGTGTACTAGCTGACTCATACACTATGATGAAAAGATAAAGTCAAAACTAACACCGCATAACAAATTGATACCCCAAGATGCATCTTCTCAAGAAAACCATTTATCACAAAGGCCATCCCATAAAAGTAGTAGGAAAGAGAAGATGGCTGCCTAATCAGCAAGTGCCAGATATGTCTGGAACTGATGCTGGAGAAAAGAATTTATTCAGAGGCAAGGGTGAGAGGTAAAGTCTGTTATGGGAGGATCTATGAGAAGAAAATCCAGCTGGACTAAAATCTAGTGCTTAGAGAGGACCCATGAGGGGAAACCAGATACTCCCAGATCATGGTACCCATTCCTCTACTCTAGACTTGAAATTGATGCCTCCTGGGGGAGACTGGGTGGAGAGGAAGCGTGGCCCTTCAGTGACACCCTTAAGGATTAAGTAGATCCCTAATTATCTATGCACTATCCATACACAGTGAAGTGAGATGTTTTGCAAACAAGGATTCCAAGAAGCTAAAATCAGAATGTGGCAGAACTATACACACACACCAGCCCACTTAAAAATTAGAAACAAAGGTGCACCAGTGCTGGGAACTAACGAGATATACTCATATCTTAGAAAAAAATAGCACACCAAGCCAGGCATGGTGGCACACGCCTATAATCCTAGCATTTGGGAGGCTGAGGCAAGAGGATTGTTGGGAGTTCCAGACAAGGCCGGGCTACAAAGTGAGATAAAGGCCAACCTGAACTGCATAGCGAGACCCTGTCTCAAAAAGACACACATACACACACACAAAACAGCACACCGGGGCCAGCAGGTGATGGGGCTTCGGAGTGGTAAGGCATGTTCAGCACAAGGAACAGTAACTACGCTGCCCATTCCTTCACATACAACAGAGTGCTGTGTACAGAACATTGAGCATTGTATCCATGCAAGTTCCCACGGTGGGGGCAGCAACTCCTAGCTGGCAACTGTAGAGTAAAGGGGGCTGCATGATAAACATGCAGCGGAGAGCACAAAAGCAACTCAGCAGAGCCAGAGTAGAGCAGGCAGTGCCCTACTGTTGTTTCTGAAATCAGATACACTGCACATGGCATGACGTCCCAGCCACAGCCACACTGGCAAAGAGGGGCTCTGAACCCAGGCTGTGAATGACACTAGGGCTCTGCTTGTGAGACCGAAGCACACATTCTGACGGCTGTGGACAGAGATGTCATGGTGAGCAGCACCAGGAAAGAGTATGTAACCCAGAAGGTAGTGGAACCGCACACAAAATGATCAGTGTGGTTATAGGAGAAGTAAATTACAATTTGGAAGAGCTAATCAAAACGGTTCTAAATATAAATGACCAATTTACCAAAGATTTATACCCACAAAAATGTGCCAAACAAACCTTGGAGAGAAAGAAAGCTATATAATTCATAAATAGCAGAAGTGACCAGAAAAATGTCTCAGAAATTGAGGACTAGGTGGAAATAAATGAATTACTTAGAGAAGCCTTAGAATCAAAAAGAACAGGAAAACTTCATCCAGCAATTAGATGACACTAAGGTGACTAACCTAAGGCTAATTGGAGCTACAGAGAAATTAGAAGACAACACACATGGAATTAAAAACATCTGTTTACAGAAATCATAGCAGAAAACTTTCTAATTATGAGGAAAGAAAACATGTAAGTAAGTTAGGTTTACAGAACACCAAAGACTTCTCTCAATGAAAAAATAATGACAAAAGCAGCTCCCCATGACACATGGTCAAAATCCCAGATGTCCAACAAAAAGACAGAATCAAAGGCTGTCACAGAAAAGCAAAAAAATCACGTAAAAAGCCAAGCCAAGACTATTGTGAGAGTGATCCTGAGCCACATGGGAGGTAAGGATCCCCACCAACCATCCCCTGCCATCCAGCATCCCGGGAGCCTCTGTCCGGAGGTACCCTGGTGCCTGGCCCTGAGGGTCAAGCAGACAGCACGGGAAGTGCTCGGGACATGGACACTGTCTTGTCTGGAGAGCCCAGCGTAAATCCACTCTATCAAGGGAAATACTTTGCATAAAAACTCTTAATTTATGATTGGCTTTATGACTATAGACTATGCTTCTATGACCTAAAGTACAAAATCAATAGTACCACAGGTGATCAGTTTCTAAATTGTGCTTACTACTAATTGTACCACTGTGGCATGGATATTATATCTCTGGTAATCAGCTGTTCTCCCTTGTGTAACAATATTGGGAAGCTCTGGGCTAATAACCTCACCATAGGCATATACCAAAAGAATGGGGACTGAGCAAAAAAGAAATGAATAACTCACTCTCAATTAATTGGGATGGTAAAATCTTGGGACAGACAAAAAAAAAAAAAAAAAAAAAAAAAAAAAAAAAAAAAAAAAAAAAGGCTATTCCTAGAGAGGCCTTGATATTAGTGATATGGCTACTTACTAACAAAACTCAAGGATCACTACAGAAAACAAACAAAAAATTTTTTTAAATTAAAAAATGTTAAAATGAAGGCGCAAAATGCAGTCTCACATCTCCAGTCCACCCAGAAGAAGCCTAGGAGATATCAACATAGAAAAAATTGGAAGTCACACACCTGAAATTTCTGAAAGGATAGCAAATGAAGTAAAGAAACAACTCCATGGCTATAGAAAAAATAAGATCAGAAATAATCTCTTGGATAAAAAAAGAAATGACAACCGTAAAGAAATAATTGCTCAGCATATCTAAAGAAGACATAGATGAAAACATACAGGAAATGTAGAGAAATGATGAAAACCTTGAATGAACAATATAACAAATTGAAAGAGATATCCAGGAAATTAAAAATTCTATTGAAAGCTGACAAAACCATTTGAGTGAAACTGAAGAAAGACTTTCTGACCTTGAAGACAGCATTGCAACTAGTGATCATAAAAGGAAAGATCTCTGTCTGTCTCTGTCTCTGTCTCTGTCTCTCTCTCTCTCTCTCTCTCTCTCTCTCTCTCTCTCTCTCTCAGTTCAAACTAGCATTGAGCTCACTTTGTAGCCCAGGCTGGTCTCAAACTTGCAAAGATCCTTCCTGCCTCAGCCTCCTGAGTGCTGGGATTACAGGCATGCACCACCACACCCATCTGTGGGAGGTAAGATCTCTTAAAAATAACAAGGAGCCAGTAAAAAACAATTCAACAGCTTCAAGATGATGCAAAGAAAAACAACATAAGACCCATAGGTCAAAATAGAAAAACAATATAAGACTGATAGGTAAAAAAACAAGAGTTAACACAAAGGACATAAAAAGACTATTTGATGATAAATGTAGTAGCAAAAAAAATTCCCCAGCATGGGAAAAGAATCTGACATAGAACTTGAATTATCCATAAGCAAAATAAATCTATACCCAGATACCTAAAAATCACATTCCCAGAAATTCAGCAAAAGAACAAATTTGTAAAAGCTGTTAAAGAACACAT